CCCCCTCCAACCATAGGCATGCTGAGCCTCTGGCAGGGGGCCCTCCCCCCTCCGAGGAGGTGGAATCACCAGCCTGACTAGCTGGCACACACCCCCTGGTTTGCTGGACGGGGGGGGGGGGGGGCATCGGGGGCGGGAAGAAGCGTTTAAAGTTGAAGGACAAGCTAAACTTTGGGCGGCACCCCCCCACCCAAGTGAGATAGCCCTGGTACCGTTTTGTCATAGGCTTTGTTTGAGTATTGGGCAAGGACACAGGGGCCTACGATCCCTATGTGCCCGGAGGGCCCCAATAGGGGAGTTGTTCAGGTCCGCCCTGGTGGGCTCCTATAGATTAATGGGGTCTGTCGCAGGTTTACACGTGGGCACCAACAGCGGGGGTACGGCACACGCCTGAAGTGGACGAGAAGCCTTGAAAAAGTGGTTGGAGGTTGGGGATGCAAGCAGAACCGTGCAGGGGTATCGAGGAACAAACCAAAACCGTTGAGAGTAACGTAGAGATAAGTGAAGATTTGGACGGCGAGGGTATGAGGCACTGGGGAGTTATTGGTGGGGAGGTTGAGAGCACAATAATCTAGCAAATTGGGGGGAAGTGCGGTAGGGGAAGGCTAGAAACAGGGGGTTCAAGGGGGGGCAAAGGGTTCAAAGGTCAAGGGGACATGGTGAGAGGTTGTCTAAGGGGTCTGGGGGAGGCTGGGAGAGAAATGATAAAGGGGAGTCAGTAGGTCGTTTGGGGTGCCGTTACTTGCCCAGACTCAACAGAGTGCGGAGGGCTGGTTAGGATCCCAGGGCCTGCCAGGGGTATTCTCCTTATATGTGGTACTTGCAGGTCTGTAGAGGATAAAACGGTTGGAGGGAATATGCATATTGCAGAGATGCTTTTAATGGTTATTACCCTGAAAATACGGGTTTAATGAAGGTAAAGAAGCCGGTAGTGATAGGACCATCGAGAAGATCTGGGGAAAGTTGGATGAGGGTTTTTGGTGGTCTACAGTAGGAGGTTAGGTATTGATAAATAGCTAAGGAGGGGGGTTTAAGGTTTTAAGTGCCTGTGGTAAAGGCTTGGAGCTGTGACCCGCCATCTGGTATAAACTAATTACCGTAATAAGGTTGACTGCCGTTGTGCGAGGGCTCATTTAGAGGTTACAAATGAATGAATGCGGTTAACACAATAGCCCCCCCCCCCCCCCCCCCCCCCCCCCCCCCCCTGGCGAATCATTTACAAAATTAAAGGTCTTCTAATGAGCAAACGTTTGAGAACGACGAATGAGTCCTTAATGGGAAACGTGAGGCATTGTGCGGGGCTATCTGCAATTTCTTATGGAGCACAGAAGCAAAGTGTTAATAGGCCAAAGGGTTGGTACCGTTAGGCGTCATTAGAGATGGAATTGTCTTGATTTCTCCTGATGGGGCCCGGCGGTACACTTGGGCAGTACGTTTGGGGAGTCTTTGGTCACAAGAGATTTTCTGCCCCCTTTAAATTGGAATGGGGTGTGGTGGAGTGTTGTCCTTGTAATGGCATGATGGCGATACAAAGGAGTTTGTAGTGTCACAATGTTATGATCAATGTCCCTATGTAGTCTTGACTGTACCATTACCAGTCCTGGGCTTGAAGTTTCGCCAATTTCCATGGGATGCATTCACTGGCTGGTGTCACACTATTCGCCATTATGCCATGCGGGGGGTGGCCATTGCGGATCCTTGCTTGCTCGCCAATTTATGGAATGTCATTGCAGTGAATTTCACCTGAGCTGGTTTGAGGGGGGATAATTCCATAGGGTATCTGGATAGGCGAGTACCCTGAGTCTTGTCGCCTATTTGGCAGCATGTCCATGTGGTTCATTTACTAATGGCGGCTTGTTCCCTATGTTCGCTAATGTTAAGAATTGCCATTCATTCACCTAGCTGTGGTGAGCGACTCAGCGGGGTGGGTTGGGATAGTGGGAGGTAGAAGGGAAGGGGTGGTGTCGGATGTCCCGGGGATAGAGGGGGGATGACATTGTTCGTGGGTGGGGTGGAGTAGGGGGTTGATAAGGAAACCCAGGGTCAAATCAGGGCATTTGGGACTAAAAACTCTTGGCGTGTCCGGCGGGCGACGGGCTGTACGGTGGCGCGGTCCAGTGTTTGGGTACGTTGAGGCTTGGTGGTGGTTAGGTGGTTGGTAGGTGGGGGACGGTTGGGTTGGGGTTGCGGGAGGGGCTGTGGGATGGCTTTGGGGCCGTAGTTGAGGCTGAGGGATGGCCATGGGGTGGGTAGTGTGTGGGATGGGGGGGGGGTGGGGGGGGGGGGGGGGCGGGGGAGCGGGGATGGGGCTAGGAGAGTGCGGGATTGGGGGCGGGGGGGGGGTTGGGTGTAGAGGCTGGTTGGGGGGTGTGGGGCGGGGGGGGCGAGTGGGTGGGAGGGGGGGGGAGTTGTTGCTAATGGATATGGGAAGAATGGGGGGGGGGGGGCGGGGTGGGGGGTGGGGTGGGTGGTGGAGGGACGGGGGTGGTAGGGCGGCGGGGGTGAGGGGGTGGGGGGGGTCAGCTGGTGGTGGCGGGGAAGGTTCTTCCGGGAGGGGTAGGGGGTGGGTCAGGGGGTGGGGTGGGGGGGGGAGGGTTAATGGGTGGGGGGAGTGAGGGGTGGTTGGGTTGGGGGTTTTGGGGTACGGGTGGAGAGGTTTTGTTGAGGGGGGTGGGGTGGTGTGTGGGGGGACGTACTGGCTTAACTGAGCGGGGTGGGCATTAAGTTACTTAGTGGGGTGGGGGATGGGGTGGGTGCAGTTGAGGGGGACGGGAGGGGTGGTGGGAGGGGGTGTTAGGTGGGGGGGGGTGGGGTTATCTAGGGGTTTGGGTGTGGTTCGGGGGGGGGGGGTGGATGGGCTTTGTGGTGCTTGGGGGGTGGGGTGGGGGTGGGGGTCGGGACGCTGGGCGGTGTGGGGTACGGGGGAAGGGGGGGGGGGGGGGTGGTGGGGGGTATTGGGGAGGGGGGGGGGGGTTCACCTGTAGCGGATGGGTTATTTGGGTTTGGGAGGGGCGGGGGGGGGGTGGGGGGGCGTTTGTGGAGGGTGTACAATGCATGGGGTCGGAGTTGGTGGGGTGAGGGGGTTGGGGTGGTGATATGGGTGTTGGGGGGGGGTGTGGGGTCACTTGGGGGGGGTATCCATGGGGGGGGGGGGGTGTTGTTTGTGGGGGGATGGGGGTGGGGTCTTGGTTGGGTGAGGGGGGTGGGGGATGGGGCGGGGGGGCTGGGGGGGGGGTTCGGAGGGGTGGTCCTTGTGTGGATGGGGCTTGTTGTACTTTGGGGGGTGGTGGGATGGGGGGGGGGGGGGGGGGGTGGGGGGGGGGGGGTATGAGCAACTACCTGGTTGCGACACTGCCAAACTAACACCCCATTTGGGGGTGGAGTGGTGTATTATTTGGGGGGGGGCACGCTTTTACCGTTGGGTTGTAATTGGCGAAAAGGTTGCATAGGTGGGGGGGGGATTGGGGGTATGGTGCGGGGGTGGGGGGGGGGAGGGGTTTGGGTGGGGCATTAGTGTGTAGTTGGGGGTGTGTTGGGAGTTTGGAGGTGTAGGTGGTTGTACTTGGTTGGTTGGGGGGTTTGGTTGTGGCTGGGTGTGCGGTGGGGGGACTGTCTTGGGTGGGGGGTGGAGTGTGTTGGTACTGAGGGGGGGATTTTGGGGGTAATGGGGGGGGGTGTTTGGGGTGGGTTGATGGTGTTTGTATGGTGGTGAGGTGGGGGAGGTTTAGCGGTGATTAGGGGGGGTTGGGGGGGTGGGTCGGGTGTGTGGGTGGGGTGGGGGGTGGGGTTGGGGTTGTTGGGGGGAGTGTTTGTGGGGGGTTGGGGGGTGAGGGGGTGGTGGGGCGGGTGTGAGGGGCACGGGTTGTGGGTGGGTGGGGTTGTGGGGGATTGGGATGTGGTTTGGGGTGGGGGTGTGGGTTGGTCAGGGGGGAGGGGTTGTTGTGTTGTTGGAGGGGGTGGTTTGGGGGGGGGGTGGTGGTGTGGTTGGTCGGTGGGGGTGGGTGAGTGGGTGTGTGTGTGAGTGATCAGTGGGGAGAATGTCCTTTTAACATTGGGTGGTCAGTGGGACTAAGAATGTCGCCTTTACAATTGGGGGTACAGTTGGGGGTAATGGTCCCTTACATTGGTAGGTCATGGTGGCGGGGAATGTGTCCTTTTTAGATCGGAACTGCGGCGTTTGAGATCAGGTGGGAGCCGGAGAGGATGTCCCTTACATTGGTGTATCTGTTTGTTGGGAAAAAGAATGGTGACGGTCGAACAGCACGGTTTGGGTGATCAATGCTGTGGGGTGAAGGCTTGGGGGTTTGGTGATCAGTGGTTAGAATTTTACATTGGTGGGTAAACGGGGTGATGGAGCCGTTAAAAATATAAATGGGTCCTCTTGACAAGTGGTGGGCGGGGGTGATTTATCCCTTGGCCCCATTGGGTTGGGTAAGGGGGGCATTGGTGTCAGTGGGAAGAATGATCCCTTGTGTCGGGTTTGGTCAGTGGATTGTGGAATGTTTAGCTGATTGAGGTGGGTAGAAGTTGTCCCTTACCATTGGGGTGAAGGTCCAGTGGGAATCGTTTTCCCTTACATTGGGGGTCAGTGGGTAAGAATTCCCCTTGATCAGTGGGTGTATTGTCCTTACATTGGATGGGGTGGTCAGTGGGAAAGAATTTGCTCCTTACATTGGGGGGTTCAGGTGGGAAGTGTTGTCCCGGTAGTTACATTGGGGGTCAGTGGGGAAGAAATGTCCGTTTCATTTACGGAGTTCTGGGGTCTTCTGGGGGGGGTGTGGGAAGAAGTGTTCCTTACATTCGGGGGTCAGTGGGAAGAATGTCCCTTACATGGGGTGGTCAGTGGGAAAGAAAGAATGTTCCTTTACATTGGGTGGTCAGTGGGAGTAGAATGTCCCTTACATTGGTGGTCGAGTGGGAAAGAATGTCATTGTGTGGTCAGGGAAGAATGTTACATTGGTGGTGTCAGTGGGAAGAATGTCCCTTACATTGGTGATCAGTGGGAAGAATGTCCCTTACATTGGGGATCAGTGGGTAAGAATGTCCCTTACATTGGGGGTCAGTGGGAAGAATGTCCCTTACATTGGGTATCAGTGGGAAGAATGTCCCTTACATTGGGGATCAGTGGGAAGAATGCCCCTTACATTGGGGGTCAGTGGGAAGAATGTCCCTTACATTGGGGATCAGTGGGAAGAATGTCCCTTACATTGGTGGTCAGTGGGAAGAATGTCCCTTACACTTTGGTCCGGGTCAGTGGGAAGAATGTCCCTTACTTTTGGTGGTCAGTGGGAAGATGTCCCTTACATTGGGGGTCAGTGGGATTAGAATGTCCCTTACATTGGTGGTCAGTGGAAAGAATGTCCCTTACATTTGTGGTCAGTGGATGAATGTCCCGCCTTACATTGGTGGTCAGTGGAAGATTGTCCCTTACATTGGTGGTCAGTGCGAAGAATGTCCCTTACATTGGGGTGTCAGTGGGAAGAATGTCCCTTACATTGGTGGTCAGTGGAGAATGTCCCTTATATTGGGGATCAGTGGGAAGAATGTCCCTTACATGGGGGATCAGTGGGAAGAATGTCCCTTACATTGGTGGTCAGTGGGAAGAATGTCCCTTACATTGGTGATCAGTGGGAAGAATGTCCCTTACATTGGGGGTCAGTGGGTAAGAATGTCCCTTACATTGGGGTCAGTGGGAAGAATGTCCCTTACATTGGGGGTCAGTGGGAAGAATGTCCCTTACATTGGGGTCAGTGGGGAAGAATGTCCCTTACATTGGTGGTCAGTGGGAAGAATGTCCCTTACATTGGTGGTCAGTGGGAAGAATGTCCCTTACATTGGGGGGGTCAGTGGGAAGAATGTCCCTTACATGGGGGTCAGTGGGAAGTGTCCCTTACAGTCAGGGAAGAATGTCCCTTACATTGGGGGTCAGTGGGAAGAATGTCCCTTACATGGGGGTCAGTGGGAAGAATGTCCCTTACATTGGGGTCAGTGTGGAAGAATGTCCCTTACATTGGTGGTCAGTGGAAGAATGTCCCTTACATTGGTGGTCAGTGGGAAGAATGTCCCTTACATTGGGGGTCAGTGGGAAGAATGTCCCTTACATTGGGGGTCAGTGGGAAGAATGTCCCTTACATTGGGGGTCAGTGGGAAGAATGTTTCCTTACATTGGGGGTCAGTGGGAAGAATGTCCCTTACATTGGGGGTCAGTGGGAAGAATGTCCCTTACATTGGGGTCAGTGGGAAGAATGTCCCTTACATGGGGGTCAGTGGGAAGAATGTCCCTTACATTGGAGGTCAGTGGGAAGAATGTCCCTTACATTGGGGGTCAGTGGGAAGAATGTCCCTTACATTGGGTGTCAGTGGGAAGAATGTCCCTTACATTGGGGGTCAGTGGGAAGAATGTCCCTTACATTGGGGGGTCAGTGGGAAGAATGTCCCTTACATTGGGGGGTCAGTGGGAAGAATGTCCCTTACATTGGGGGTCAGTGGGGAAGAATGTCCCTTACATTGGTGATCAGTGGGAAGAATGTCCCTTACATTGGTGATCAGTGGGAAGAATGTCCCTTACATTGGGGGTCAGTGGGAAGAATGTCCCTTACATTGGGGGTCAGTGGGAAGAATGTCCCTTACATTGGGGGTCAGTGGGAAGAATGTTCCTTACATTGGGGGTCAGTGGGAAGAATGTCCCTTACATTGGGGGTCAGTGGGAAGAATGTCCCTTACATTGGTGGTCAGTGGGAAGAATGTCCCTTACATTGGGGGTCAGTGGGAAGAATGTCCCTTACATTGGGGGTCAGTGGGAAGAATGTCCCTTACATTGGGGATCAGTGGGAAGAATGTCCCTTACATTGGGGGTCTTTTGTTAGGTGGACAGAAATCTATGCTGTGTCCTAGATTTGTGTTCCATGTGGGAGGAGTTCCATGCGGGTCTTTTTGTGTGGGCGAAATCTTGCGTGTGGGAGGAGTTCCATGTGGGAGGAGTTCCATGCGGGAGGAGTTCTGTGTGGGCGGCGAAGTTCCATGTGGGAGGAGTTCCGTGCCACACACGGTCAGTATTCTACGGAGGAGACACACGTAGTGCCGAGATGTTTTATAAGACGAATGAATGAGAAGCGGTTTAACAAGCTGAGTGATGAAACTGTAACAAAGTCGGCTGTAAACTGAACTTATTGGTGGAAATGAGTTTCATGGAGAAAACATTCCCCAGACTGAAAGAGAACCTGTCATAGCAGAAACATAGACGCTGCTGCTGAGCTCCCTTCCGGGATCGGTCTAGCTGCAGCTGAGGTTGCTAGAGCTTCCATGTACTCCAGCTCAGGGCAACGAGGGTTCCTCTCGAGCAGTGGTCTCCAAATGGCGACCCTTTGCCGGCCCTTCCTCCCACTGACACCAACAATGGGGCAATCATTTCTGCACTGACACCAGTGATGGGGCACTATTCCTTCCACTATTCTTCCTGCCACTGACACCAATGATGGGGCACTATTCCTCCCTACTGACACCAATGATGGGCACTATTCCTTCCACTGACACCAATGATGGGGCACTATTCCTCCCACTGACACCAATGATGGGGCACTATTCCTCCCACTGACACCAATGATGAACGATGGGACACTATTCCTCCCCTGACACCAATGATGGGACACTGTCCTCCCACTGACACCAACGATGGGGTACTATTCCCCCCACTGACACCAACGATGGGGCACTATTCCTCCCACTGACACCAGTGATGGGGCACTATTCCTCCCACTGATACCAATGATGGGGCACTATTACTCCCACTGACACCAATGATGGGACATTATTCCTCCCACTGACACCAATGATGGGGCACTATTCCTCCCACTGACACCAATGACGAGGCACTATTCCTCCCACTGACACCAATGACGGGGCACTATTACTTCCACTGACACCAATGATGGGGCACTATTCCTGACACTGACACCAATGATGGGGCACTATTCCTCCCACTGACACCAACGATGGGGCACTATTCCTCCCACTGACACCAACGATGGGGCACTATTTCCAACTACCAATGATGGGACACTAGTCCTACTGACACCATGATGATGGGATTCCTCCCACTGACACTAGTCCTTCCCCACTGACCAACGATGGGTCACTATTCCTCCCATGATACCAATGGGGCACTATTCCTCCCACTGACACTATTCCCCCCACTGACACCAATGATGGGCACTATTCCCTCCCACTGACACCAATGATGGGGCACTATTCCCCCCACTGACATCACTGATGAGGCACTATTCCTCCCAGTGACACTAATGATGGGACAGTATTCCTCCCAGTGACACTAATGATGGGAAAGTATTCCTCCCACTGACACCAATGATGGGATATTATTCTTCCCACTGACACCAATGATGGGATAATATTCTTCCCACTGACACCAATGGGGCACTATTCCTCCCACTGATACCAATGATGGGGCACTATTCCTCCCACTGATACCAATGATGGGGCACTATTCCTCCCACTGACACCAATGATGGGGCACTATTCCTCCCACTGACACCAATGATGGGGCACTATTCCTCCCACTGATACCAATGATGGGACACTATTCCTCCCACTGACACCAATGATGGGCACACTATTCCTCCCACTGACACCAACGATGGGGCACTATTCCTCCCACTGATACCAATGATGGGGCACTATTCCTCCCACTGATACCAATGATGGGGCACTATTCCTCCCACTGACACCAATGATGGGGCACTATTCCTCCCACTGACACCAATGATGGGGCACTATTCCTCCCACTGACACCAATGATGGGATATTATTCTTCCCACTGACACCAATGATGGGATATTATTCTTCCCACTGACACCAATGGGGCATTACTCTTCCTCCTACTCACCACCAACCAGGAGGCCATTTGTATTCTCACTGATGCTGGGCCTGGGACATTTTCTTCCCCAGCTGTCCACAATCCGGCCCCACTAAAGTCTGAAGAACAATAAACTGGCCCATTGTTTGAAGAGTTTGGAGACCCCTGATTTAGGGAGAAATCTCCCCAATGTGACACAGATGGTGAAAAATAATTCTCCCAGGTGTTGTCACCCTCCCTGCTCCATCCAAAAGCTTTGCCTATAATTGTACTTCAAAAGTTATAAATGGCGGCCGGGTTCTCTTAATGATGCCCATCGTGTCACCGTTGTTATATTTCAGGAGGGGAAATCTCCTGGCCAGGAATATCGCTCCATCCGCCATATTGGTCTATTTATAGGATACGACTCCGACAACCCACCGCGCCATCTGCCAGCCATACTGAACCTATTGGAAATTTCCATCGTCCCCCCGAGGGGCAGGGTTGATGGTCGTCTCCATCGGAGTCATTTGGCTTCTCACCCGTCCTTCTGAAGCGTAGAAAAAAGAACATCCCTCGCTGTTTCGGGATGGAATGATGCAAGTGGCAATAAAAATAAAAAAAACCCCAGAAAAAAAATAATAAAGAACTGCGTGAAGAAGCAAAATAAGACGCGCCTTCCGCTGCGAAGATATTACTTAGCAAACTGCGTGAGGATGATATTGCCGTTCCCCCGCCTGTCCTTAATGAATGGTGACAAGTACTGCAGGGCTGTGAATACCCCGTAGAGATCCCCCATCTGGTAACCTCCGAGTCAAGCAAAAAGAGGACAAAAAAAAAAGAAAGAAAAGGAGAGGACAAAAAATAAAAAGAAAGAAAAGGAGAGGGCAAAGAAGAAAAAAAAAAAAAGAAGGAAAAGGAGAGGACATAAAGAAAAAAAAAGGAGAGGACAAAGAAGAAAAAAAATAAAAAAAAGGAGAGGAAAAAAATGAAAGAAAAAAAGGAGGACACAAAAGAAAAACAAAAGAAAGAAAAGGAGAGGACAAAAAAGAAAAGAAAAAAAGTGGACAGAAAAGAAAAAAAAAAAAAGGAGAGGACAAAAGAAAAAAAAATGAAAGAAAAGGAGAGGACACAAAAGGAAAAAAAAAGGAGAGGACAAAAAAGAAAGATAGAAAAGGAGAGGACACAAAAAAAAAAAAAAGGAGAGGACAAAAAAAAAAAAAAGAAAAAAAGAAAAGGAGAGCATAAAAAAGAAAAAAAAGGAGAGGACAAAAAAGAAAAAAAAGAAAAGGAGAGGACACACAAGAAAAAAAATGAAAGAAATGGAGAGGAAAAAAGAAAAGGAGAGGACACACAAGAAAAAAAAAATGAAAGAAAAGGAGAGGACACAAAAGAAAAGGAAAATGAGAGGACACAAAAGACAAAGAAAAAAAAAGAAAGAAAAGAGAGGACAAAAAGAAAAAAAGGAGAGGACAAAGAAAACAAAAGAAAAAAAAAAAAAAGAAAAGAAAAGAAAAAAAAAATAAAAAAAAAAAAAAAAAAAGAGGAAAAAGAAAAAAAAAGGAGAGGACAAAGAAAAAAAAGAAAGAAAAGGAGAGGATAACAAAGAAAAAAGAAAGAAAAGTAGAGAAGAAAAAAAAAACAAAGAAAAAAAAAAAGGAAAAAAAAAAAGAAAAGAAAGATAGAAAAGGAGAGGAAAAAAGAAAAAAAGGAGAGGACAAAGAAAAAAAAATAAAAAAAAAAAAAAAAAAAAAGAAAAAAAAGGAGAGGACAAAAAAGAAAAAAAAGGAGAGGACAAAAAAAAAAAAAAAAGAGGAAAAGAAAAAAAATGAAAGAGGAGAGGACACAAAAGAAAAGAAAAAAAAACACAAGAGAAAAAAAAGAAAGAAAAGGAGAGGACACAAAAGAAAAAAAAGAAAAGAAAAAGAACACAAAAGGAAAAAAAAGAAAGAAAAGGAGAGGACAAAAGAAAAAAAAGAAAAGAAAAAAGGAGAGGGACACAAAAGAAAAAAAGGAGAAAAAAAAAAAGAAAAAAAGAAAAGGAGAGATAAAAAAGAAAAAAAAAAAGGACAAAGAAAAAAAAGAAAAAAAGAAAAGGAGAGGATAAAAAAGAAAAAAAAAAAAAAAAAGGAAAAAAAAGAAAAGGAGAGGACACAAGAAAAAAATAAAAGAAAGAAAAAAAAAAAAAGAAAAGAGAGACAAAAAAGAAAAAAAAAAGAAAGAAAAGGAGAGGACACGGAAAAAAAAAAAGAAAAAAATAAAAAAAAAAGAAAGAAAAGGAGAGGACACAAAAGAAAAAAAAAAAAGAAAAAAAAGAAAAGGAGAGGACAAAAAAGACAAAAAAAAAAAGGAAAGGACACAAAAGAAAAAAAAATGAAAGAAAAGGAGAGGACAAAAAATAAAAAAAGAAGAAAAAAAAAGGACAAAAAAAAAGTCAGCTCAAAAACGTCTCCATGTCCGACGCCGTGGTCAGCCGGTTCTGCTTCCGTACGCTCCTACGGCTCGGTGATAGTTCATAGAGTCATGTGCGGATAGTATAACGCACGATCGCTGTGTTGGTGACGAAGTCTCCGCTCCCAATTAGCATGCAGCAAAATATAATAAAACGAATGTACAGGAATGACAAATCTCCCGGAGATGCTCGCGGTGGGAATATTTTATCGCTCATCTTCCTGTGATAAAAACTTCTGTTTCTTTTTTTTTTTTTTTGCCTCTCCCATCTAAATCGGCATCATTAGGAGAGGAAGCGATGACGGCGCACTTCCCGAAAACCGTTACCTCTTATTGCGGAGTGAATAAAAATGGGGCCGCAGTATATCGCCGTTCTTCAAAATGAGAGGGAAGCGGCGGGGGGCGCCAAACGTGGCTGCGCATAAACGGGAATCTAAAT